TAGGGAATGACTGTGCCATGGTCTTCATTGGAGAAATCGGAGTGAAATGCCAAATGCATCCTGTTCCCCTTAGACACAAACTCCTTTGTTCCAGGGTGATTGCCTGTGGTTGACCCAAGCTGGCCACAGTATCGGCCCAGGTTCTTCTTGTCTGCTGTGATCTGCCAAGGTAAAGGGGAAATCACTGTAGCCTCATGAGATTCAGACTGCTCCATGCATCACTATTACCCAGCCATGAGTTGCCAGTACCTGTTCCACCCATTACTATCTTTAACACCTTCCCTTTCCTCTGTTGGAAAAGTGAGAGGAGACCAGGAGCTAGTGAAAAGTAATTGCATGAGGTGGCCACTAGATTCCCATCCCAATCCACCCATTGGCCCAGCTATCTTTTGCCCATACCTTAACATAGTCATAGAAGCAAGACTCGGATGGCTCCAGGTCAAAGTGTCTGAAGGTCAGCTTCACCACATAGCCTTTTGGAACAAGGATATCCCAGTTGCTGATGTTGTTGTTGGGGTACGGCCTGGGATAATTGGGGGATCTAATCTCCCCAAAAAGCTTTCTTGGGACTGGACTGGAACTGATCACTCCAAAAAAGAGGTAGGACGCCAGAAAAAAAGGGAGGTACCTGTGAACAGGGCAAGTAAATTATGACATAGTGCAGAACTAGGTCATCCAAAATCAGAGGAGACTTCACAAGCGCACTGTCTAGTGGAATCCAAACATGGCAGGCCTAGCTGTAGGTCCAGCTTCTGGCTTGGGTCACTCCTGAACAAGGAAGACTGCTGAAATGGAGACATCAGCACTCCCCAGGTACCAGCAAGGCACTGTGATCCAGTCCAGGAGATTCATCAAACCGGGAAGCCGTTTGAAGGAATGTGAGTGAATTCCCTGAGCAATGGCTGCTTGTTCCCACTGGTCATGGGGTGGATCCCTTGGGACTGGAGCAAGAATGGCAGGGAGGCAGACTTATCAGTTGGGTTCCTTTTGACTTCGGGCCAGGGGATCATTTCTGTTCATTGCTACTCTAGGCTCTTTGCCCAGTTCATTTGGTCAGGGTCTGAAGATCTCAAGCTCAGTTTTCTGGGGAGCAATCCTGTAGTGCCTCCAAAGCAGGCCTCTGCCCAATCATGCCTGATTCCCTCTCCTGCAAAAAGCCAGGATTCTTTTCGGGGAAGATGATCGATGCAAGGCCTCATTTTTTCTCATTCTGCAGATGCCTCCTCTTCCCCTCTGGGAAATGGGACTGTTAGCATTCCTCCAAAACACACTCACTGCTCACATCTTATAAGATCAGCCAGGAAGATCCTTCTTCCTTAACCCTACCTGCTGGCAGAGGTTTAATGGAGGGAAATTAGGGCATGAGTTTGGCCTTTTTGATTCCTTCCTCTTCCTGGAAGGGTCTAATCCTTCAGTTCCCTCCCCAGAAAGATGCCATTGTGCACCCCCCACCCCCCCCCAAACTGGCCGCACTCACATGTCCATGTGCTCGTCCGTCTTGCACGCACCTCTCCCTGTCCTCCCTGCTGTCCGAACCACGGCTCCAGAGCTGTGATCAGCTCGAAGTCCTTGGCCCCGTCAGATAGGTGGGGAAAGGCAGAGGGAGGGAAGAGCAAGTCAGATTACAAAGCGGCTGGCACGAGAATAGGTGCTGTTAGCCCGGTGGCTGCTGCCCTCTGCTGCTGAATTGCTGGAGTTCCAATACTGACATGGACCTTGGAAACAGATTCAGAGGAATGCTTTGGGAGGGCTGTTATATCCTAGCAAGGCAGATGTGATCCTTCTCTTCTACAGAAGAGGACAAGAAGACAGAAAAATGATTACTAGAGACCTCTCACTACGATTTAACTTGCATTCCAACAACTCCTTCGAGTTTTCTCCTAAAGATGTCCTCCTATAAAGACTCCGTTACTTCTCGGCAGTTTTCTGGTATAGGAAGAAGTTCAGAAATTTTAGTGTTAACAAATGTTTCATGTAAGCGTTAAAAATCAAACTGTCAAAGAGGTCAAGTCTTCTTCCATGCTACTTTGCTGAAGAGCACTTCAGAGTCTTTAGAGATGTGAACTGGGAGCTTCTTCAGGGAAAGCAAGAACTTCAGACTTCTGACATATGAGGTAAATAGGTATTAATAGGACGGAACAAAACTATAGAATTAAAAGCACTGTAAGAATGAATCCTTTCTCAGAGGCCCTTCTCACTGTTTGTTCTGCAAATGTCTGAAGCATTTTTAGGATAAAAAAGATAGAGAAGGCCTTCACTATTTAATAGGAGAGCAAAAAGAGATAGCAACTTGCAAACACATTTCAGGCTTTTATCGTCACGGTGCCCGAGTCCTGTATTATCACATTCTGTGGCATGAACTTGATGAAGTGTAACATTTCTTAGCTTTCAAATTTTGGTTTAACCAATAAAACACTATTTTAGTGTTTTCCTTCAGAAGTTATGGATGTTTTCAGAGAAATTAACAAGTTGTTTGAATGGAAATCACAGGAAATAGTTCATGCCTATGAAAACATGTTGAATGAAGATGAAAATAGCATTAAAAAGAATGAAGGAAGCTTCCTTGGGGTATTTCTGGAAGTGTATTGGAGGCTAGAGAATGTGTTCATCAAACATCTTTGACATAGTGCAGGTCACATAAATGGTCACATAAATGCGTAATTAGTACCTCTGTCATAACAATGGGATGTAGATGTGAACCAATCAAAAGGAAAGAGACCATCGACTCAGTAAAGAAGACAGGAAGAGGCTGTCACTGGCAGGCAGGGAAATAAGACTGTAAGGAGTATAATTACTGCAGAATTTCTTTGTTCGGGGTCCCTCCCCGGAGGCCCCCAGCTCGAGCTGTTACTTTGCTGTACCGTCATTTAAATAAATAATTAATTTCACTGCTAGACGTATGTGAGACTCTGCTCCTCGGAAACCTAGGGTCAAACTGTTTCCATAACATGGGCCAAGCAGCATACCTACAGCATGGCTACAGAAGAAAAGATAGCAAGTTATTAGTGATGGTAGTTACTACTGAAACTCTGGAATGGATTGGAACACTATCCCTTATGATTATTGTGACTGTGAACCACCTCCAGTGCACATGTTTCCTATCTATTTTTGCTGTCTATGGTTCTGGCACAACTGGATCACTTCCTGAATGCAAGATGCTGTCATGGATATAATGGCTGTCAACCACTCAGAAGCAAATCACTCAGCATATCACCTCACAGGCTTCCATGACAATTATGTGGATGGTTGAACTCTGGCATGGTTAACTACCTAAAGGCAATGGCCATCCACCATCAAACCACGATGTGGGCTCAGAAAAGGAAAGTTTGTATCAGCCCCTGGTGCAGTGCTTTTCACACCCTGAAATTAGTAGATTAATTGTGGATCTCACAGTCTGGAAGATACCAATCTGGACATGCTGAAGTGAGCTTGATGTTGGGGATCGGAAGCAACTCAGAAGGGCTGTCATTGTATGGAGGATTGGGAGGAGGGTAGCAGCTTAACCAGGCTTTGGCTGCTGTCAGTCAAAGCTCTGCCTCTTACAGCCTGGCAGTATTATGAGGGTAATGTAGAGGACCCTGATGATAGACTGGGTCGTGGAGGTATGCATGGAGCAAATAAATGAGGTTTGAGACAGGTGTCAGCTGGCCTGGCTATGACTGTCCCTGAGTTTGATTGTGCCCCACACAGTGGCACCCTTGCGCTATCGATATGGACAGACTGTTGCAGCCTGGGCTGTCTTCAGAGACAGCCTTCAGGAGCATGAAGTCATCACTTACAGGTACAGCTGCAGCTCCCCCACCCCTTGCTTTTCATGTGTTCTGAAACAGAGCTGTTCTCATGGCTCTCATCTTCTCATTTCCCTGAAAAGAAGCTCTTTGGAGAATACTGCTTTTTAGATCAGCTGCTGGAGGAAAAATCCATTTTCTCAGCTTAAAAAGGGCCCATATTTTCAGTATCTGCCTAGCTTTTGGTTCTTTGTGATGTTGGTAGCTGCATGTTTCTGAGTACCCAGCCCTTCAAACTTCTGTTGGGGAGACAACCCCAAGTTTCCTTCAGAAATAACTTCCTACAGGCTTATCTTCTTCATGGAAGAACACCTCTATCTTTGGCACTGGTGCCTCTTTTCAGGGGACTTCACCTCCTTTGGGTCTGTCCCTTGGTCTCTGATTGTAGGGAGGAGCTGTGAGCCAGGGGAAGCTATGACAGCCATGGGAGACAGCACAAGGAAAGCCGGAAGGAGTGCTGGGAGCAGAGGCACTACTCGTGATTTCTGGCACCAGTGGTGGGAGGAGAGCCTGAGCCTTCTTCACCCTCTGGACATGAGTGCAGTGAACACGGGCCCTATATCCCTATAGCTCCAGTCCTTGGATTTCACACAATTACGTGAAAATCCTTAACTTTGAGGACCATTTCTGGTTTCTAGCCATTCTACTTGAGGCCAAGATCCTCAGAAAAACATGACATGTCCCCAGGAAGCAGGAGTCAGTGGTTTGTATACATGGCTGTGGAGGAAGGGGCAACCTTCTTGCTCACCTGGGCTGGCAATTTCTGCTTTCCAGAGGGAGCTGAGGAGCTCCACTTCAGGGACGGGGTTTCATTCGGGGAGTGCAGAGGCTACTTCAGAGGAGAGGGTGGGAGAAGTACAGGGAGCTGGGAGGTGCCAGGTCAGGCCCCGAAGCAACAGTAGCACCTGCTGTAGGGTCCCATCGCCCTAAGCAGGCAGGGGTGGCCCCAGCCCGCTCCTTTCCTGCCCAGCTCTTATTGTGAAAGGAGCCTCAGTGCAACCCAAGCCGCATCTTCCTCCCCGCCTCGGCCCACCCTTGCTGCCTGTCTCCCCGCCCCTGCTCTCCCACAGGCTTGGCCCCAGCAAGAGCCCCGGGCCCTGGGGGAGG